CATCAATTCTATCGAACTTCTTAACCAATCCAATCACCCGATCAACTATTTCGTCGGAGCTTGTATCTGTTGATGTGCACAAATGGCGACTTAGCTTCTCCATTATATTCTCATCCTTTATCAACAACTGTGTTGTAGTATTAGGTACTCTAATCTTCATGTGCTTCAAGATTGAATATCTGATGCTTTGCATGTTTACAGGAGCTGAAATTAACAAATTCCATTACAGTCCAGAAAACAAAGGATTGACAAGTTCCGGTATCATAGATAGGAATACAAATTATCAAAGTCTGAAATGTGAAATATCCTCGGTGTATGAAGGGAGTTCAACAAATAAATTTTGCACGTGCAAGTTAAGTTATCAAGATCTAACTTTTCTCAAACCTGCAACTTCAAGAACCACTGAAACACGTTACAATATCAAAGTTGTGAGATCCCATATCGGTTGGAGAGGGGAATGGAACATTCCTTATAAGGGTGTGGAAACTTCTCTCTAGTAGACGCGTTTTAAAAACCTTGAGGAGAAGGCTGAAAGGAAAAGTCCAAAGAGGACAATATCTGCTAGTGGTAGACTTAAACCGTTACAAGAGTCCTTAAAAGAAAATACAGAATTGCCCATTAAAATAATGTGCAGTAACTTTCACGGGAATAATTACATAGAATTGGAAGAAAGCGGAAGTTCTTTAGTTGTACAAAAAGTTCAATCATCAGTGAGTTTCGAAGGTCTAAGATAAAACTATGCTCTAAATGGGAGAGGGAATGAATTTGATTAGGAAAATGCTATGCTATAACGTCTATGTTTGCACCAGAAAACTAAAAAATACCAAGCTCTATAAACAGCTTTACATCAATTTTGTTGGCCAAATCAAGAAATTTAAGGGCATGTCTAAGTAGATATGCATCACCATCTGAGCTAAATCCACAAGAAACAATTCCAATTCATAAAAAGACTGGTACAGAAACAGGAAGTCACCAACCAAAATGAAAAAGAAATGATAAATAAAGGAAATGAAAACAGAGGGCATAAGTAAAAAGTTTGAAGGAGGTTATGAAAATAAATTTGCGGAACTTCCTACACTAAACATCACTTTGTAGGCCAAAAAACATTATAACAAATGATATTTTGTTCATAATAATAAACAAGAATATAGTTCATCATAAAGTTGAGATTAATGTATAAAGTTCAAGGGGTCATGACATCCTCAAGGAGAGATGAGTTACTTCAAAAGTCAATAATATAGAACAAAATGGACAAAGAAATGAACTTAAAGGCAGCAAATAGTTTGTGCTACCAGATAAGCAAAAGTATTATTAAAAAATGATTTAAAAAGCTACGTAATCATAGCCATGTAAACACTTACTGCGGTCAACTTTTTAACTAAAGCACTAACAAAGTGACAATTCCAAGGACCATTTAAGACTATTTAAAACTTGGCTTTCCAAAACCATTGAAGGAAACGTATATTTCATTTCGAATTTTCTTCAAAATAGTTGTTATAATGCATTGTATTATAAATTTGCTAGTACCACTAACTTCTCTAAAAAGTCTTAAATTTTGTCTTCATCCATCATGTCCTGTATATTAAGTGCATGTTTGAGATTGTCACGTTTAAAATCACCCCAAAACATGTTTTCCTTGAAATTCAATTTTGATCATATGGAAATCAGTTTCAAAATTGTAAAATTAAACGCTGATTTTGAATGAAAGTATTTGAATATATCGAAAGAAACATATTTTAGTTACCTCTACACAGTGTCCATGTCCTAGATCTGTAGAAAATGACACGTTGTTCGGTCCTTATTGAATCATGTTTTCCGTCCACTGTTATAGGGCCATCCCAATGGGTTCCTAACCCCGTTTATTAGCCCCAAGATGTTCCTAGCTGCTAATTAATTACAATAGCAAGCACTAATCAACATTTTAACCTCTAAAATATGTAAACCACACCGATGCCGATGGGTTCCTAACCCCGTTCAAGCAGAATCAACAGAAGGGATTATTTTCCAGCTGCTATTAGTTCCTTTTTCTTGGTCATCAAACCCATATGACATACAAAGGATCCTTAATGGGTCCCTTGGATGCTATACATAAACGAGGAGCCCCCTTATTACTTTTAAGGCATTTTTTGGGGTTCTTAGTGCCATCTGTTTAACCTAAGGGCTTCAGGCAGACAGGATAAGGACTAGAGATGGGCTTCACTAATTGGACTGCATTTGGAATGCCTTCTATGCTTATGTAGAGGAGGAATGTAACTGATTTTAGATAGCCAACAGAAATGAGGATGGGAATCAGTGCTTTCTTCGTAGCTAGATGTATAAATTTTTTTGGGATTACATTACAAGCTAATCCACTAAACATTCAGAGTTCTACCTTATAGATCCAAAAACTTAAAAAAGTTTTTAAAAATATAATATAATAGGTCTTTAGACCTTCAATTTTGTGTCTAATAGATCATTAAACTTTAAAAATATCCAAGAGATCTCTCCCTCAAGTTTTACCTTTGTGTTTAGTAGGAACTTAACATTTTGAATTTGTATCCAATAGATTCATACATTTTATTAAAAGTATTGTATAAGTTAGGGACCTATTAAGCAAAACATTGAAAGTTTAACCACCTATCGTATAGTTTAAAAAATTCAAGAATTATTAGAAACAACATTGAAGGTTACTAGATGCATTTTAACGTTTAGGACTCGTTACATACAACTATAAAGTTCAAGGAAACTTGTAATTTTCTTTGATATCGCCATGGTATTTGGCCCACGGCTTGACATAAAGACATTGCAAGTCATAATATCAACTCCAGCAAACCATTAGAATTTTCTTTGATTTTGAAATCTGTGAGATCCCACATCGGTTGGGGTGGAGAACAAATCATTCTTTATAAGGGTGTAGAAACTTTTCCCTAGTAGACACGTTTTAAAAATCTTGAAGGGAAGTCCGAAAGCGAAATACCAGTGAGCGGTGGGCTTGAGCCGTTACAAATGGTATCAAAGCCAGACACCAGGTGATGTGTTAGCAAGGAGACTGAGCCCCAAGGGGAGGGACACGAGGCAGTGTGCTAGCAAAGACGCCGGCCCCAAAGGGTGTGGATTAGGGGGGTCCCACATCGATTGGAGAGGGAACAAGTGCCAGCAAGGACAATGGGCTCTGAAGGGGGTGGATTGTAAGATCCCACGCAATTGGGGGAGGAGAACGAAACATTCTTTATAAGGGTGTGGAAACCTATCCTTAACAGACGCGCTTTAAAAACATTGAGGTTAAGCCCGAAAAGGAAAGCCTAAAGAGAACAATATCTGCTAGCGATGGGCTTGGGCGTTACAAAATCCTTCCCCTCCGAACCTTCAACTAAACTCCCACCCAAAACTCCAACCCCAATTACAACCAAATCCGCCCCTAGGGAGTATTCATAGAACCATCTTTCAACTTCCAATGACTTAATCTACTGTGACATCCTTTTCCCAAGAAGTTTCAGAAACCAATTCCATATTCCATATTCCATTGCTGAACACTGCACACTGCTTAAAAGAATCACAGAGAAACCCTAGATGGAATCTATGCAAAACTTGAAATAGCTCAAACATCAGGACAAAATCAGCAACCTAAAATGCCAAACGCATTCCCCAAACAAACAAAGCGTCTAAAAACCCAGATTCCTTCAAACATTTCACCCTTCATTATCATAAACCAACCAATTTTTACCCAAAATCGTGAGAAAAATAGGCTTACGAACAAACTTTAAGACAACGAATCTGTAAAATTGGAAAAGAAAAGCAAGAAAGAGGTAGATTGCAACAAAAGTAAAGGTTGAAAAGACAAAAAAAAAAGTTGGAAACCTATTTACTCACGAGACTAGCAGCTACTGACTGTAAGGTGGTGGAAATATTCTCAGTGAAGCGTCCGACGAATTGCCTGAAAGAGAACCTGAAAGTTGAACTGCGGCTGTTATGCCATCGCCATTTCAAATCCTCCGAGAAGATTCCGAATTTTGGAGCTTTCAGTAGACTGAGGGGTTAACAAGATAAAATGGCAATTGCCTGGTAAAAATAATATTTTAAAATAAAAAAAATAAATAAAGAATCTTTTAAATATTAATATTTTTATACAAACTCACTATACCTCTCCACCACTCTTTATAAATAATTTAAATCAAATCATCATATATATATATATATATATATAACAATCAAAATTATTAAAAATTAATAATTAATTAGAAGACTTTAGGACATACATTTGAATAAAACAGACTTGATACTATTTAGATTTATGGTTTTTTATTTTTTTCAAAAATCAGTGGTAGAAAAACATAATTTTCACCGTAACGAAAGTTGAATTAGGAAATCTCGACGAAGACAAAATTGTAGCTAAGATGATGATATACATTATCTATGAAGACGACAAGATGAGAAAACTTACCGAACTATGAGTCTTAAGATTTTTTTAACCGACTTGCGATTGTGCAGCACTCACCTCCCACCAATAAGTGAGTTAAGCCTATTTGTTCTTGTGTTGCCTATGGCCAAGCGACGTATACTCGAGCCTAGAAAACGGGGGCAGAGAGATTTCGAAAGAGAGTTTTGAAAGCAAGATTTGAGAAATTGAAATTTGTGTTACATGAGAATGTAATCTAAAGGCAACAATAACGGCTTACTGCATATAACTATCGGGTAGGGACAAAACTAACCAATTTGGAGAAAAAAATTCAAAAGAAAGCAAATGAAACATATGTCTAATTTTGAGCCTAAAGCTTTAATACCAAATGATATGAAATCAACTTAAGGAAAATATCTTATACTAAATTACAAGGAATCACTGTCACTAAAGTAAGATTCAGATTACCTTGTTGATCAAATATTTTAAGACAAGAACACTTGTTTGAGATTCGAATAAATCACTCCACAAGCAAGATTATCATGTCATGCTTGAATGATTCTAAACATACTGTAACGCCCCTAATTTTCTCTAACCTAATTAGCAACGTTACTTTGTACTCGTATAACGAAAGAACGATAGTTTATGTAAGACAGTCACAATACATTCATTATTATAAGTAGTTCATACCTGGGGAAAAACAATAACGACAGCCTAACTAAGAAATAATCAACAGATAACTAGAAGAAATAATTGCAATAACTATCATCGGAGAGAGTCCAAACAAGACGCCTACGACACTACAAGCCTTCCCTAAGACTTCCATGGCCTTCGCAACGTTCACTGCCAGTCGTACATGGGGGTCTTGCCCTTACCTGAAAATATAAGTAGCACGTGCTTGAGTATTATATAAAATACCCAGTAAGTCGCCCCACTGTTAGGGTTAAGCATATAATCATTCATTAGGATACATGCGATCACATACAATACACATATATAAGCACAAGTGTCAAAGGAAAGAAACAAGAGAGAGGTCTCTCTTCTATTCCTTCCTATGGCCTTAGGCCCTTGCTTTGTCCGAGCAGGGTGGATGCATGTTACTTTCCCACACATGACCCACGTGCGTGACTGTGGGCCCACCAGGCGAGTTCGCATGCAAACTCCCTGGGCCTGGCTTGATTGGGTATGTATGACATACAATACCGGACGCCACAAAAAAAGAGGGCCTGCATGATATCATAACGAACATAATATCGAATGTACGCGTTCGTACCATCATTAGTATAACGGGGAAGTAACCCCGTGTACATAACACATAGCGTGCATGAGGTCCCTAAGGTCTACTTCCATGGCATTATACATACAACTGTTCCATCCCCTCACAGCATTACATAGCATAACTGGGTTAAACATCGAGTAAGCATATCGTAGCATACTAGTCATCACATTCATGGCATGCGAAGTTCTCATTACGATCATGACAATAAGCTCATACATATAGGGTAGCAAATCGTGGCACACACATCACATCCATAAACATGACATACATCAGCGTTTCACAGCAAGGAATATATAACCTAGCATACATCAATAACACACATGATGCATGCAAGGGCCACAGGGCACGCACCATCATACATACATAACTAACACCAACAGTAAGATTACTTACTTCCTTGACTTTGGCCGAAGTCACTCACAACGCTAACTCTGGCGCCTAACTACCTCCTATAAGGCAACATGTTACACTTAGAGTCATTTCACAACTAGCTCTTAGGTCTAGCTACCAAAGAGTCATTTCACAACTAGCTCTTAGGTCTAGCTACCAAGGTACGTCCTTATCACAAACTATTTTATCAACGTGGAGTTAAACTAACCTCAGATGGTTGAAATAAGGATCAAAAACCTAGAAATCAATATATTATTGGAATGTCGAGCCGCTAAGCCGCATCGCGAAGCCGAACCTAGCCGAGCCTGGAGTGCAACGAAGCCGCCGATGAAGCCGAAACCGATGGGCTACGAAGAACACTGACGACGCAGGGTTTCTGGACACGTCTCTGGTTTGGGACGAAAGGGAAACGAGGCCCAGTGGTGGTGTCTGAGCGCGACCTGTGAGGTGCGGGTTGCACGCTAGCCGAGACGAACTTGCAGAATGTCGAGGGGTCGACTCGTGCCCACCGCTTTGTCTTCCTCGCCCGAAAGCCTCGTCAAACCTAATCACAGGACTGGACTACTGTCACCGGTGGGACCGTCGTCGTTCGTCCGTCTCCGGTGGCGCGTCTGTCTCTCCTTGCCTCGACGTACCCTGGCGCCCGCTCCTACCTAAGGCTCGCGGCGTTATCGATCTCCCACTTCGACCCTAGGGTTTAATGGGGTCCGAGGAAATCCTGCCAAAAATCTCGAGTTTTTTTTTTTTTTTTTTTTTTTTCTTGGATGTGTATCTATACATCCCAAAGAGGACAATATGTACTCGGGGTGGATTTGGATCGTTACAAATGGTATTAAAGTCAGACACCAGACGATGTGTCGGCCTTCTCACTGTTTCTCGAAGGGGGTAGACACGAGGCGGTGTGCTAGTAAGGACGCTGGGCCTCAAAGAGAGATGGATTTGGATTTGGAGGTGGTCTCACAACGATTGGAGGAAGGAAAGAGTACCAGCGAGGACGAAAGGAGGTGTATTGTGATGTCCCACATTGGCTGGGAGAGAACAAACCACCCTTTAGAAGAGTGTGGAAACCTTCCTCTAACCGACGCGTTTTAAAGCTTTAAGGGGAAGCTCGAAAGGGAAAATCCAAAGAGGAGAATCGCTGTTAGCGGTGGATCTGGGTCGTTACACATACAATCTAAACTACTTATAATGGAAGAAAGAAAAAACTTAGTCGTTAGATAAAATAAAACACAAATGCTAATATAATATTATAAATATTCTTTTATTTAATCATAATTAGTCATTAGTAAATATAATACATTTGTAACCATTTAATAATAAAATCATTTCAAAATCTAGATTTTATTATATTACCGATATAATAATCAAAATTCAATTACAGTAGAACCGACTTGAATAGTAGGTTGAATAGTCATTCCCCTTAATAATTTCCTCTAATAACTCCGGCCAATAAAACGTAGAAATGATAGCCTCTTAGGGCACTACCCCTAACAACTCCCATGCACGTTCAACATTCCTCCCCTAGCAATGATACGACACTCACTATAGTGGATTAAATTAACATCGACATAAAACTGTGGGTTTGAGAAGAATCGAATATATTAGCTTTTAAAATATGGTTTTCAATTTTAAAATAGTATTTATAATATTATATTTCATTATTTAATATATTTAAATCACATTCCAATATTGAATAATATATATTTAATTTATTTGAGTAAATATTAAAGCATCCATATGTTAATATGTTTTAACGTATATATCTAATATATTATTTTTTTTTTTATTTAAATGGATGGTTACTTGAAAATATTTTAATTTTAATTTTTTTATTTTTTTTTTAACTTGGATAATTATATCTTATTTTTTATTTTTTTTTATTAATTATTTAATAAACCATTTGTTTATAATTCAATTATAAACTACTATTTAGAAGGACCAATTGTTAAAGTCCACTTAAGGAATTGCTCATCTACTTACCTTATATGTGAATGAGTTAATTTCATCACGTGAGATTATGTTTTTAACTCTCTATTTGGCTAAGTTTTCAAAACAGTATATTTAATGAATCGACAAACAAAGTCTCTTAATTATGCAAATTAATAATCAAATCCTTAGAGACAGACACTCATAACTCATCACTCAGGATTAAGATCGAATCAAGTATGATCATCAGGTTAAATATTTATCTTCTCAATAAACTCTTAAGCTAAAAAAAATTCAAAAATATCATTACAGTTACTTTTTAGATGAAAACTATTAATAATTTGTTTCAAAATATCACTGAACTTTTTTCAAAAATACTTTTAACTTTCCGAGGTGTTTCAAAATACCCTTAAACTTAAAAAAAAAAAAAATATTAATAGTTTTGAGTTAAAAAATATATATATAATAAAAAAATGTTAATTTTTTTTTTTACTCCAACTTTTTAAAAAAAATTTAAACATATTTATTTTATAAATAATGTACGTAAATGTAGAATTTTTTTTTTAATAAAAGGAAATGATGTTAATGCTGATTTAAGAAATTTATGGGTATTTTTTTAAAAAAAGCATAAATAAAAATATTTTTGAATTTTTTTTAAAAAAATTGAAGGATATAATATAATAAATTTTTTAAAGTATATTTTTAAAACTCTATTAAAAATAATAAAACTAATTATAATGGTAATGATAATATGTATTTTGTATTTGTTGTTGTGTGTTTGTTAATAATAATAATAATAAAAAATAAAAAAAATAAAAAAAATGATGAATGGATTGGTAGAGGGTGTGGAAGCGTATTAGGGCCTTGATTAGGCTTTAAAAAGGAAGAAAAACGAAGAACAGCGAATAGGGAAAAACCCAGAAAACAGAGGAGGAAAAAATTCTGAGAATTCGAGTTTTGGTTGCTTAAGATTGGTTGTCAATCGAGGGTAAAGGAAGAGAGATTGTTGCTGAGGAATCCTTTGAGGAAGGGGATACGGCCACGAGCTGAATCGGACGGTGATTCGAAGGTAACGAAAAACCCATATCACCAAACCTTTAAATCTCAATATCTTGGTTCATACTGTATAATAAATTATGAAATAGGGCTTGTTAGAACCGTAGTTAGGAGATCTATAAAGTTGTAGAAGAAATCAGAACGAAATCCGAGCTGTAGAGATGGAATTTTGCTTCGGGACACAACGGGTATTAAAGGAAAAGATTGGGAAAAATTGCAGGAAGGAGAGGTTGAAGACGAGCGCGTGGGAGGACGCGAGTGTAAGTGCGACTGTGCGCGGATCAGGCGCGTGAGAAACGAACCCCGGTTTTGTGTTGGCGCGTGAGAATGTATTTTGGCTCCCAGTTTGTCTCGTTCGACTCCTTTTGACTTGTCCTATCAAAATTGGTCTATATTTATGTTGAAATTGATAAAATATAGGTCTAATAGGAAGGAATTGTGTTGGAATACCTATTAAACGTACATTCAAGGGGGAAAAGGAATTCGAAACCAAGTAAGTAGCATATCGATCTTTGAACTAGTTCTTAACTTGTTTTACAACATGTGAGTATGTTGTTTACCTGATTAAGAGCTTAGTATGTTATGACGAGCTTTGATGATATTGACTGTTTATTGTATATTGTGACTGTTTGCTTATGAGGTAAGCATTATATAAATGATTGCCAGAATGTTCTATGTGTTGAACATGATAAATGTATGAAAGCATGCAGTAATTGTGAGTATGTTACGCATGTTAATGGAAAGGTTATGACTCTAGGATATGCTTATTGGTTGTTGAGCCATGACTTATTTATATGAATATGATAGTCTACTAATTCCTGCGGAGTTCCTACCGAACGCGCTGTGTGCCAAGTCAGGGAGCATGAGTACTCCTGACCGTTGGTATATGAGATAAACAGGCCGCCAAAGAAATTAGTAGACGGGCCGTATTTGACCGAGAGCGAGTCTTACATACGAGTCCAAAAATTCTAGATAAGCATACCAAAAGAGAGTCAATAACCTAAGCGGGAGGTAACTGAGATACCTCATTAAAGAACAGATGACCCTAGTAAGAGAATTAGGAATCAATGACGAATAAAACTTAAAAACACCTGTAAAGATTAGTTATGAACTCTTGAATCATAAGCTAGCTACTTACTGGGTAATCTAATTACTCATCAAAATTATTATAACTTTTCTTTCCAGATTTAGATGATGCAGGCCAACCGAAGATGAGACCAAGCGGGCTAGAGACTATTGGGAATCCATGTCTGGGTCTATTTATGTAATTATGCTTTAGTTGTCAAGAATTTATTTCGGCTTTTGAGAATATGATTAGCTGTTAAGAGTATGTTATCGTTGTTGATGGTAACTCTTGTTAATCGCGCTGACGATGAACGGGTGTTACAAACAGTATTTTAATTTTTTTTTAAAATTTAAAAGTATTATTGAAACTTTTCAGAGTAGAAAATTTAGAGTTATTCTTATTAATTTTGGAAATATAAAATATATCTGTAAAATTAAATCTATATATATATATAACTATTTTTGGTAGACATTAATAATTTAAATTAAATTATTTTTAACCATTACAAAAAAGTCGACTATAAATTATTTAAATTATTACTTAAACATTATATTCACATATAATCTTAAATTTTTTTTAATGGATGATAGGTTAATTTTTTTATGAGGTTTTAATTCTTTTAGGAAATTATTACTTAGTATGAGGTTTTAATTTTTTTAGGAAATTATTTTATAATTGATTAGAGGTTAAAAAAAAAAAAAAAAGTATATTTTATTAATAAAGAACTAGTGAGTAGGTGGAAGAGTTCTTTTTCTAATCAGTCCCAACTTCAATGATGATCTTGCTTCAAGTGGAGGGCGATAAAATGGGCAAGAAAACAAGAACAATCTCACTTTCTTCTCCTTTTCTCTGCCTAAATTCTCGCTTTAGCACTCGTGTGGGGTGAACCCTGAAGCCTCGAGATTACAGCCATCTCACCAGAAACGGAATACACATTCAGTGATGGAGGAGTTGGTGTAGAGCCCCCATCAATGGCCTCCTTCGTCCATTCAATCAATTCGAACGCCGCTCCATTTCAGTGATCATGTGAGGACGACAATCCCCAATTTCTTCTCCCAACGCAGCTCCCTTGAGCCGCCTCTGATTCTTCCCAAGTCATCGGACAATTTTGTCGAAGATAAGGGGTTTAGCGATTCCCCTTCGATATCGATTTCTGTTGAGCGATTTTTGATTTCTGGGGTTTCTTTTTGTTGACTGTGATTTTTTATTTCCCTTGCTCTAGTCTGATTTTGAGGTTCTGGAAGTGGGTTTTGTGTTTTGTTTTCTTGTTCTTAGTTCTTTAAGGGTTTTGGGTTGTATTTGTACTGATTAATCAATGGGTAACGTGAATGGGAGAGAGTATGTAGACGAAGAAGATGATGATGAAAATGAAGAAGTAGAAGAAGAGGGTTTAATTGTGAATGAGGGCGTCGCCGTGGCTGATGGGGCTCATATTCTATACCGCCCGCAAGGTGTTTGTCAAAAGTTGATGGGTGGCCAGTCCCCTCCACAAAGCCCCACGGCCCCTCGATCGCCATTGATTTTCACTCCTCAAGTAAGCCCTCTCTCTCTCTTTCTCTCGAGTTCCTTTTAGTTTCTTGTAGCTAATTGCCTATGGTTACTAGCAATGTGATGAATTTGAATTAATGTATTACTTGGATTTTGAATTTTCATTTGGAGATTGATATCACCTCTTTTAGATATAACTTGTCTGACAATGGATAAATGTTAGTTTTTGTAACTCCAAGTTTGATACAGAGATTTGTTGTTGGCTGAAAAGAGGTGGGAGAAATTTGAGATTGTGGGGGTTAGTTTTGAGGATGGTTGGGAGGGAGTCCCACGTCGGCTAATTAAGGGGTTGATCATGGGTTGGTATGAGGCCTTTTGGGAAATCAAAAACAAAACTATTAGAACTTATGCTCAAAGTGGACAATATCGTACCATCGTGGAGGGAGTTCCACGTTGGCTAATTAAGGGGTTGATCATGGGTTTATAAGTAAGGAACACGATCTCCATTGGTATGAGGCCTTCTCCAGGTATGAGGCCTTTTGGGAAATCAAAAGTAAAACCATGAGAACTTATGCTCAAAGTGGACAATATCGTACCATTGTGGAGGTTCGTGATTCCTACTTGTTAGTTGAAGGCTTTGCCTACTTTTTTTTATTCGAGAAGTTGGTTTAAGGCAGTTGCTTTAGCTTAAACTTTATATAACGTGGTTCATTCATTTTTTTCCCCTTCAATATACATTGGGTGTATCTAGCTGCTGGTTCAGCTTAGAGCTGACAAGAAAATGTTCAGTTTCAAGAGATATAAAGTTTACTTCAAACTTGTAAAACTTTAACAAATTCATGTTACAGAGAGAACAAGAGGAGTTGATTGAAATGATCCTATGTTTCATTCTCAGTTGGATAGGTTGTTGTTTACTATCATCTTTTATTAGTTCCTTAATTTTTCTTTTACATTTTTATCCTCAGGTTCCGCTCACTCCTCTACGAAAACCAGAAGAAATGCTCGTAATTAGCCAATCCCAAATGATGCAAGGTTCCTTGGGTTATGAAGAAACGTGCGAACAAAGCATTCCAACCATGATTACATGGAGTTATGGAGGAAAGGAAGTAGCTATTGAGGGATCATGGGATCTATGGAGAACAAGGTTCTCTTCTCTTCTTGTACCATTCCGTGATTATCGTTTCTGAACTGCTGCCGAAATATCTGATACTAGTTGTACCTCATTAACCAGAACGCCCTTGCAGAGATCAGGGAGAGACTTCACTATAATGAAAGTGCTTCCTGCTGGGGTTTATCAATATAGGTTTCTCGTGGATGGACAATGGAGGTATTCGCCGGAGTTGCCTTGGGGCCAAGATGACGTTGGCAACGCTTACAATGTTTTGGACTTGCAGGTAACCAATAACGTAGGATATGCAAGGAAAAGGGTAGAGTTAATCGACTTGGAGATAAACTCGTGTTGTCTCGTAAACAACCATTAAATATTTTAGCCTACTTCAATGCTTTTTCCCTATGAGGCCCGAAACTTGGTTTGTCTAACTAACCATCAATAGTCCATCGACATAGACAATCTATCGTTGTATGTCAATTACTTTTTTTTCTTTTATATTCCACTTGTTCTTCATTATTGATGTTGGTGTTACTATTCTCTGTTAGAAATCACGACTCTTCCTAATGGTATGATGTTGTCCACCTTGAGCATAAACTCTCATAGTTTTGCTATTGGTTTCCCCATGGCCCTCATAGACCTTACATCATTAGTTCATCAATTATGCAGGACAACGTGCCCGAAGATATCAAAAGCATCTCTTGCTTCGAGCCTCCTCAATCACCAGATTCGAGCTATGACAATTTACTACTCGGGTCTGATGACTACGCGAAAGAACCGCCATTGGTTCCCCCACACCTACAGAAGACACTGCTCGATTCGCCATCATCATACATGGAGACTCCGCCCAGTCTGTCAAGGCCACAACATGTAGTATTGAATCATCTTTACATGCAGAGAGGGAAGAGCGGTCCATCGATTGTTGCACTTGGTACGACACATCGGTTTCTAACGAAGTATGTAACTGTTGTGCTCTATAAATCTTTCCAAAGGTAAGTAAATCTCTTACTTATCTTATTGTCTCTGCTGTTCTGGATTATCTGTAATCATAAATTTTGACATGCCAATGCCAAGTTAGTAGAGGCAAACCAAGTTTGTGCTGCAGAAACCTCTAGACCCACACTGCCATCTTGGTTTGATTTGTTCTTCACCACTTGACACTCATTTTAGAGAGATTTGGTTTACTGTTTGCTTTCTCTGCCATTATGGAATTCGAGTTTATGTTAGCTGATTATGTAATGGTTTATAAATGTAGTCTTGATTCCTTAACCTACACCAAACAATCTGTTTTTTTAGCCCAAGTGTCATGATTAATTGGTTAACGTATCTGTCAATCCACTCGAACAAGCAAGACCGGACATCCGTCATGCAGCTATAGGCAACACATCTTACACAAGTATGACAGTGACACTAAACATTCTCTCATCCAGCTTAAACTCTAATATTGCAAGCAAGACCGGACATCCGTCATCCAGCTTAAACTCTAATATTGCAGTTGTCGCTACAATAAGTGTACAAATTTTGATTATTTTTTTTACTTCAGTTTATAACGATTCAACTCTATTGTTAGTAGATATTGTCCGCTTTGGCTTGTTACGTATCGTCGTCACCTCACGATTTTAAAACATGTATGCTAGGAAAAAGTCTCCAACTAATGTGAGATCTCACACTAGGAGGTCTAATGTCCTCGCTGACACACCGCTCAATGTTTGACTCTTATACCATTTGTGAGATCCTATATTGATTGGAGAGATCGATGTTTGACTCTTATACCATTTGTGAGATCCTATATTGATTGGAGAGATAAATAAAACATTCCTTATATAGATGTAGAGACGCGTTATAAAGTTGAGGCTAACGACACTACCTATATCGGTTGGAGAGATAAACAAAACATTCCTTATATGGATGTAGAGATGAGTTATAAAGTTGTGAGGCTAACGACACTATGTAACAGGTCAAAATGGATAATATCTACTAACTATTTCTTTTACAGGTGTGCCATTTATGTTTTGATTATCTGCCATTGTCATTGATCCATTACTAGCTAATGTGATTATCAATCATATGCACGTCATGATTCATAACCACACATTTGAATACAACAACAATCCACGAACCTCGTAAGATAAAATTGGAGTGGCAAAATCAAATCAAAACGGACTTTGACAGAGTGGAAGATTAAAAATACCAAATGCGGCACAACACGGAGAACAGAAGCCGGAACACTCCAAAGAGGAAGAACAGATGATTCCCCAATCGGTATTTCCTGACGGTAAGAATCAAAATCTTCAATTTGTGGCAACATTAAGAACAACCTCCCATTTTCGAAACCGCTGGTAGCAAGCCTAGAAGTGAATTCTCTCTCATTTTACACTTGAAAAGATGGCCCTCTCCATTTCCTTCTCGACGAACATCCACTGCCCATCTTCTCCGATTTGCAGATCAATTTCCTCTCTCAATCCATGCGTCGGTGTTCTTTTTAACGCTAGGAGAGATTACAATCGTGGATTTCCGCTAATTGGATCATTGGACACCAAATTGGCAAAAACCAGGGCTGCTTTGTCTGAAATTTCTTACCGCAAGCAGTACCCAAAAGTGGGTGCCAAATCCGTTGGACCCATTCCACCTGCCCAGCTAATTCAAGTCGTTGAGAATGCTGCCAAGACTGGTGCCGAGGTTTGTGATGCGATGATGATATTTTGTCCCTTGAAATGCTTTTAGTTCACTAGTTTTTTCTTCTTCCTCTACCCCTTTTCGAATTTCTTGTTTGTTTCATTTTGTTTGCTTTGAATATCTGTGGTATGATATTGCGACAAGTCATGATTATCAGATCACTCTGAAGCTTAACAATGCAAAATGTGGTGTGGAATTGTAGCTTCTGAAGTTATAATCAATATAATTTGGAGCACAGAGCAATAGGGTGTTTGTTGCCGTGAAATTAGAAGTGGTTGTTTAGGGTCATTTGAAAGTTGTTCTATATCATTGTCTGAATTCTAGCTTCTGAAGTTTGCTCCACTATGGACAACTTAATGAACATGGTTGCTACCTTTTGAGAAAAGGGTCATTAGAGTATTTGCTTGTTGGCTTCATTGTGTGAGTTTTGAGACCTTTCCCTTGATGTACCCAGGTGGTGATGGATGCTGTTAATAAGCCTCGAAATATCGAATATAAAGGACTGACGGACTTAGTAACCGAGTAAGGATCCCCTGTGGAACTTTCAACTACTGCGTCATAAGTTTTATGCTTGATGTCATATCGAACGATAACATTGCAATATAGATTTCGTTTTGTGGTATGAAATGAAATTGTTTTTCGGTGGAGGAGTCTCGTGCTCGCGATTTTCTTGGATAAAAAAGAAATGGAGTAAAACATGTACATGTTTTTTTTTTTTTTTCCAGCTAAATGAGAAGTTAACATATAAAATGATTGGAATGAAATCTATGCATGTTTGTAAAGCTATTGATGTACTTAATTGCTGCTAATCTTTCGTTTTTGGCTTACATATAAATATAACACTAACCTTGTGACAATTTAGTGTTTCTTATTAGCATTCTGTTTTCATCATGTTTCCTGATTTACTTGCAGAACAGATAAAATGAGTGAGGCTGCTATTCTTGAAGTTGTTAGAAAGAATTTTAAAGATCACCTCATCCTCGGAGAAGAGGGAGGGGTTATAGGAGATTCGTCATCTGATTATCTTTGGTGCATTGATCCGTTAGGTTTGTATTTGCAACTCTGTCTTCAGTGCGAAAATGTAGAGTAAGTCATTTTTTTTTTAGTGTTAGGAGATGAATCAACATCTTCATAATAAATTATCGGTTACCTTCAAGATTAATCTATATGTGAGATCCCACATCCGTTGGGGAGGAGAACGAAACACCCTTTATAAGGATGTGGAAATCTCTCCCTAGCAGATGCGTTTTACAAACCTTGAGGGAAAGCCCGAAAGGGAAAGCCCAAAGAGGACAATATCTACTAGTAGTGGGCTTGGGCTGTTACACTATACATCTGAATAATGTTTCCTTTATTTTTCTTTTGATAATGATTAGATACTGAGCTTACTCGCTCTCTTATGTTCTTTCATTTATTTTTGATTGCATGTTTTTCTTAAAAGAACTTAGTGGTCCAACATGTTGCGGTTTTAGATGACAAAGAAAGTTGATGTACTGCATACGTAGTTTATTCGTTGGATCTTAAGTATGTTATTTCAATTCTAAAATTGTTTCCTTTTGTGGGTAACATTTGTGAATCTCTTTTGGGATCCTTGCACAAATTTTGATTCAATAGATTGTATAGAACCAATAACTGCAATACTTGATTTTGATTCGGCCCTTTGTCACCTTGATTTAAAAAAAAAAAACTAACAAAACAAAAATTGATAGTGTAGAACATAAATGAAATTGATTAAAGCATTTGGTCAACCTTAAACTCGATACATATTAAAAGTGTATGCTGTAAATTACTTCCTCTACAAAGTTATTTCCTGAAGCTCGGTTCCAGTTTTGGATTTGTCTACATGTAAATGTGTGAGAATTTTGATTGGTCATGCTCTTTAAAATTCCTTATAATCAATGGAGGACTAGATCTAACAATATTTTGGTGTATTTTATCATCATTTACTCTTAGAGACGAGTCCTATGATAGAATGTTTTTAGCTTATTCCTCTGTTTTATCTATACCATGTGCGTACAGATGTAATCCAATAGGTACAAGTTTTCTAACTTCTGTATAAATCCAGATGGAACAACAAATTTTGCACACGGCTATCCTTCCTTTGCGGTTTCTGTCGGAGTTTTATTTCGGGGAAATCCTGCTGCTGCAGCCGTGGTATTCACATTTATATTTTCATTTCTCCCATCTTCTGTGATTTGAAATCATGCTTTCTAGAGATGGAGGCAAAAAACGAAAAACGATTGAAGGACTAAAGAGAACAAACTAAACAGATTATCAGCTTTGAGATCAGTAATCAATCATCATATTTTCCTGGAAAATTAAGATAATTATCTTTCTTTTATTCAAAATGATGAGTCTACTGAATTGATTGGATACGACAGCTGATTTGGACATGCTTGTTTTGTTTTTGTTATTTTTTCCTTCCATATTTCTTATATTTTTGTAAGGTGTTGCTTCGGTAACGAATGTCCTTCTTCAGGTAGAGTTCGTTGGAGGCCCTATGTGTTGGAACACTCGCATATTTACTGCAACTGCTGGTATAGTTTTTATAAATTTTTGTTTAGAATATAGTTTTGGTTCCTAAAGTTTATCCCTATTTCTAATTTGGTGCTTAAAGTTTAATTGGTTCTATATTAGTCCCTGAAGTTATAATAAGATCCAAATTCAATCCTTATCCTTAAAATCTGATTAAGGAACTAATGAAAAGAATAACATGATTTGTAGTGTTATGTAACAAATAAAAGAGCAAAATCTCGTCCGAGACAAACTTGTCGGGACAGACCCTAGGCTTAGATTAATAGACTATGGATGGGTCAAACATCAAGTAAAGTTCTCCAAGGGTGGTTAGATTTGAGCTTGATAGAACCTAGATAGTTAAAATATATTGAAAGATGAAGGATGAAAAAATAAAATAACTCCCAACGAATTCAAGCCTCGAACCCTCTCTTTGAGTATTCTTACTCGAGCTAAATTCATTAAATAGTTGCCCTAGTTTCATACTTTCCCACTCACTCTATTTATAACAAATCACTCCCACCAAACTTCTTTACTAATTACTAACGAACCCTTTATTCCACAATAGGGTTCATAATTGTTTCCTAATGGCATTCTTATATGAGTTTTCATTGATTGCATGGTTGGACGCTATGTAATAGTAGTATATATTTGGGTATAAGAAAAGAAAAATCTTTCATTTGGCTCCTTCCATGCAAGACAACGAGAGTCATATGGTTTACAATGATGTTGATTATCTTTTACATATATTTAGTAGTTCACGTTCTCTTTATCTGTGAATTTTTGCATGCATCTCGACTATTCTCACAAGGCATTACTACATTTGGTTGCTAGTAACTCCTAGGATTCAATGAACCCATTCCCTCTAAGCTCTTTATTATTTCATGTCCTTTATTGTTTAATAGTTGATGATCTATAGGTGACAATGTGGGAATGTATTGCATTATTTGCAAACTTGAGGACTAAAATAGAACTTCTTTAAGAGACCAAATTAGAAAGGGAGTAAATTTTAGGGTCTAAAACTTTGTTGAACTTGTTTCTTTTTGGATTTACGCACTATTAGTAAGTTCATTGACATTTGTTTTGTTAGGTGGGGGAGCATTCTGTAATGGCCAAAAGATTCACGTGAGTCAAACTAGCCAGGTGAGTTTGTTATCTCGAAACAATTTGGAAACAACCACGTTTGTTGGCATTTTCGTTGTCCTCGAAGTCCCGTTGCATTGGACATATTTGTTTGCTTTGTTAGTGAACTTTTATTTTTGGGAACTCTTATCAAAACTTTTATGCTTATCTTCTCCCAACAAAAATAATCTGTCGTACATTTAGAAGACCGTACCATTACAGCACACACGTTAGCAGTTTCTTACTACACGTTTTCCTTGAAGATCATGCTAAAGTAGTATATTGTCTGCTGAGGGAAATTGTAACACTCACATATTGTGTTAACGATTTTGTTTTCTTCCAAGCATTTGATTTACTATTTGACATCCATGTTTATGAAATTTGACTGAACTTGCACATTTGCAGAAACTAAAGAAAGTTTGATACTCGTGACACCTACAACTTTTGATTTTAAGTTCATCAGAAAAGTGTCATTATATTTAATACTGGGGTTAGCTTTCTTTGATGGCTTAACAGTATTTTCTACTTACTTAGGTGGAACGATCTCTTCTAGTTACCGGATTTGGATATGAACATGACGATCCATGGTCTACAAATATGGATTTATTTAAAGAATTCACAGATGTCAGCAGGGTACTCTTTTTATCTTCTACTGGTTAGCTATATTGATGAACCGTGATCAGCTGCGGTCTCCTTATAACAGGATGAAAGTTTAACTAGGAAATATAACTCTATTTACCTATTTACTAATTTTTGTCTTATCGAATTTTCAATGTGCAGGGAGTGAGAAGGCTTGGTGCAGCAGCAGTCGACATGAGCCATGTAGCTCTAGGAATTGTAGAAGCATATTGGGAGTATCGCCTGAAGCCATGGGATATGGCTGCAGGTGTTTTGGTACTGCTCTGGTTGTCTTCTTATGCAGTACTTTTAGGACTTTAAATTGAACATATGAATAGGTAAACGAACGTTATTTTGGTAGGAACAATTGAGGAGCCTTGTGAATTGGAAATAGAGGAATACAGAGTTTGGTTAAAAATTTGTTTATGTGTATGTAACAGCCCAAGCCTACCGCTAGCAGATATTGTCCTCTTTGGGCTTTCCGTTTCGGGTTTCTCCTCAAGGTTTTTAAAACGCGTCTACTAGGGAGAGGTTTCCACACTCTTATAAAGAATGTTTCGTTTTCTTCCCCAAATATAACGTAACTAGCTAAGACACATAACCTTGACCTCAGAGATTTAAATCCCTACCTCTGTCGATTGTTGAACTTAAAAAAAGTTAAAATAGACTCGGTGAGTTAGAATAAGCATAACTAGTTTTATTTATTATTATTATTTTCAATCGATTGGAAATCCTTGTTTTGAAATTTTGGGTTGCTGTTTTTAGTTATCTTCTTTGATCTATGTAGTCATTTGTTCATAATAAATCCTGCTTGTTTCGTTTTGAACTATAATGGTTAATATCATTTTGTTTCCATGTTTGAACTTGATAGCTTCTCAAACTCTTTCTTATTTAAGTCGAGTGAAGAAACTCGTGGAAACTGGAATTAGACTACGACTTTTATGTTATTATTGAGCCAATTGTTTTTATATGCAGTTAGTTGAAGAAGCGGGCGGAGCAGTGACTCGCATGGATGGTGAAAAGTTCAGTGTATTTGATAGATCTGTTTTGGTTTCTAATGGTATCGTACATGACAAGGTAATGTTTCCAATCCTATCTTCTGTTTCAAGCTCTGATATTGGGCTTCATCACAATCACTGAAGTTTTCTATTGTTACAGCTACAAATTGTATATCCTTCTTTAATACCAACATTCATCTTAAATTGTCATTAGACCAAAAAACTTAAGTTGTTTATTCATATTAGGAGAAAATGACTCAAACACGGATACCATGTTAATAGGTTGCTCGTAGAGTATGGAAAATTCAAGCCTTTGAACGTCTTGGAATGACATATCCTAAAGAACTTGGTTAAAAAAAAACCACAAAATCTTCGACTAGAGATAGTCAGTTCGAAGCTTCTATTTAATACTCGGTCTCCTATTCTCTTCCATAAATGTCATAAGAAAAATTTAAGATATATCAAGTTCTTCTTCATGCTTGGAGTAATGGACGTGTACTTGCTTATGAACATCTATAGGATAACTTAGTTTCAAGCTCTTATGAATTGCAGCTTTTGGAGAAAATTGGTTCCGCAACAGAGAAACTAAAAGGCAAAGGAATTGATTTCTCATTGTGGTATAAGCCAGAGAACTACCAGACAGATCTTTGAGCTGTGCCTCTCAATATGAGTATCCAAGAAATTGTTGTAAGTTGCACTCGATCCTGGCATCATTTTCTCTGTTCAGCTTGCATATGGCACCCTTCCATTGCCTTTGCTAGCTGTGAATTGACTGATTTTCTTGAATAAAAGCATTCATCAAGGTCTTCTTTGAGTAATCTCACAGTTATACTTCATAATTAAAAAAAGTTCGAATAAAATTTCGGATGAGAAAACCGCTGTGACATATATGACATGACGGCTTGTACTTGTTTACGTACCCCTAGGCTTGAGTATGGATTGACATATGCTCACGCTGCTGAAAATCAACGGAAAGGAAAGGAGGGGCCTATAATAATATAGCAACGTGTTTGTATGTAACATGCTGGAGGAGTAATTTGTACTCGAGTGATATTCGACATGCATGAGGGTCCGTTTTAAGAATCATGGTTCAATGAGATGATCCACATTATACTTCTATACTTATTATGACAGGTGTACTTAAGTTTTTAGGGTATTTTATTCGTGCTTATCTACATTATGGTATCTAGATGACATAAAAGTGATCCTATTAACTTAGCAAACATGATCAACAAATAGGGAATACAAGCATCACAAAAAAATTATTAGAATATAATTAATAATCACACGTAAGCATCAATTAATTTATCCAACCATAGTCCATATACATTCCAACCGTAAGTTTATTTGTTGTTGATCACTCATAGGTTCAAAAAATCAAGAGCCAACACATTAACTATCTTAAACTAGAGAATTAAATTTTGATATCCCACATTGGTTGTGGACCGAATGAAACCTTGGGGGAAGCTTGAAAGGGAAAGTCTAAAGATAACTGTTACAAATAATATTAGAGCTCGACACCAGACGATGTGCCGGCAAGAAGGTTGAGCCCCAAAGAGGAGTGGACATGAGGCGGTGTGCCAGTAAGAACGCTGGATCCCGAAAGGGGGTGGATTGTGAGATCCTACATCAGTTTGTGAGGAGAACAAAACATTATTAGTTTGTGAGGAGAACAAAACATTATTTATAAGAATGCAAAAACCTCTCTGTCATGAGAGAAAGTTCGAAGAGAACAATATCTATTAATAGTGATTATGGTTGTTACATTGAATAAATGACATTAAGATCTTGTAGCATAGTCACTCCCACGATGAGGCTTTGAAACATGAGTCTAACAATCTCCTTCTCACGGTTCTCCGTCTACTACTTCTCGAGTTGCTCGGCGGCTTTGGCGATGCGGTCGTGAAGGAATGCCTCTTGGTTGACCATCTTATTGCATTGCTCCATCTCCGACAGGCTTTTGAACTTGGAGACAACCCTCTGGAGCCCCACGGCGGAGGGCCAGAGGTCAGGTTAGGAATTGAAGGGGCTGAAGATCATGGCAGTTTCACCTTCTTTCTCAAAAATTAAGAAATGGGTTTTGGTGTGTTGTGTATTGACAGCTTCAGATGAAACTTAATTAATTGAATTCTTATCCTCCTTGGTATATTTTAATTCCCCATATTAAACTACGTTCCATTAGTATGAACACGTTGCATGTGATTGCATTTTTTGATTTCGATACTAGAATTATTTATGGTGTATTTTTAAATACTGAGCAACGACCCCATGTACGAATGACAACGATGCTAGATGAGGTCACGCCAGATAGTTTTTCGTATTTGTGCCATAGTTCCACTGTTAAGATGGTTTAATCGTAATTTCATCTTTGAACCTTGATACGGGATGTTTTCTTTACTACTTCAATTATATTTTTACTACGTTTGCACGGTTTTTTTAAACTCATGACAATTTTTAAACATAAAATGTTTTGAACAATTTCTACATATGATAGTCATGTCATGCATGTAGTAGCGGTATTGTTTTCATCAATTTTCTTAAGTTTAGGTGAGTTAGAAAATTAAATACCAAGAACAATTAAATATATTATGAAATCATAGTATCTAATGCATGGTATGTTAGACAAAAAGAGTGAACCATTTTGACATAAGTGAGTACAAATTGGAGGGACGAAAGTAAGCTAATTTGGAGTTAGATAGAACTTCGGCTAAGGTCATTCAAGTATGTAGTCTTACTATGAGTTTAGTTAAAATGGATGTTGTGTGATGACACGTGCCTCGTGGTTTTGCATGTGTCATATGCTGGACGCGTGTGAAATATTTATGAAACGATATAAATATGATATGATATGTGAATGTTATGATACGATGTGTTTGATGATGTATTTGAGATATGATATGATGCACGACCCCAGTTTCATGTATGGAAATGTTATGATAATGATATGATATGAAGGAAAACGATAGAGGGATTGTCATATATGATAATGGAAAAGAAAAAATGTTAAGACCTCATGCATCATTGTGTGTTCATGCATTTGGAGATACCCCTTACTATGATACAGACGCGTATATTATGACGCAGGAAATGATTATTATGTTTATCATAATGTTGCTACAACGGTCGTTATTCCTAATGGGTATCCGACATAAACAACTACTAGAGAATGCTCGCCCGACAAAAAAGTGGCCTAGAAGGTGTGTGAATTGACTGGTGGGTCCATACTTGTACGTGTGGACCGTGTGGACCATGTGTAGATTAATAAATACACATCCAATTAACCCATTTAGGATAGTTGCCTAACGAATATAGACTGATTATGATAAGTCCCACTCATGATGGTATGTGATTGCATCTAACCCCAATAGTACGGTCACTTACCGAGTATTTCTAAAAATACTCAAGCCACGTGCTACTTCTATTTCACGTAAAGGCAAGACATCTCTGTGTAGTTGACGACGACATCACAACTAGAGACCATGACACATGCATATGGTAGTTGCATTTATTTTCTTAGACTTACGGCAAAATATGATGTTTTTTATTTAAATGTTTATTTATTCCGTTGTGCCATTTTAAAGATGTTTTCAAACAAAGTACGTAATAGTGTTTTAAGATGAACTTTATGTCTCATGAAGAAGTTCAAACGTTTATTTGCGCAAAGAAATGATCACGCTATGATGATCGTAGCAACTCAGGTAAGTAGAAATCTACGGTCATTACAAAAAATGTAAGAACATAAACCCGTACAACCCAATTAACACCCGATCAATTATTTATTGACGAAGAGAGATGAGAAAAGGTTCTTCACCCTCTTTCGGAATCTAAGCTTAAAAATTTAAAGACCAACCCCAACACAATTCCTTTTCAAGGAGAGCCATTGTTCGACCAAAATGCACCATGGTTATCATCATTTGGAAGTTGAATCACATCATCCCAAATCTTGAATCCCATTTGATCATCATAGGCTTCATGACTCATCATCTCCATGAACCACGACGGCTCGACTGCCGACACGACCTGCGGTTCAGTCATAGTTGTCGTAAGCAACTCAATCCTCTTACAAACATCAGTCATTGTCTCATCAACCAACCACACAAGATCATACAAATCAATGATATTGAGATCTCGTGGTGGAGTCGCTCCAGCCACGAGGCTTTCAAACATGAGTCTTGTGATCTCCTTCTCGCGTTTCTCTCTTTGCAACTTCTTGAGTTGGTCAGTCGCTTTAGCTATGCGGTCACGGAGGAAGGTCTCTTGATTCACCATCTTATTGCATTGCTCCATCTCCGATAGGCTTTTGAACTTAGCAAGAACCCTCTCGAGCCCAACAACAGAGGGCCAGAGATCGGGTTGAGAATTGAAGGGACTGAAAATTATGGCGCACGCCTCGATCCCACAGAGTGTGGTGAGCTCGGTGAGCTTCTTCATTAAGCCCTTCTTCCTCTTCTTGAATGTGGCTTTTCTTGCTGCATCATTTGTTATGTATGTCAGCTTCACCTTCTTTCTTGTCATGGCACCAAAAATTGAGAAAATGGGCTTTGCTCGTGTTGCTACTTATACTCAATTAAGGCTCCCTAAAGTATATATATATTCAAGGTTACGCGACTAATCTTAACCTTTCGTAAATGTTTCAATATTAATTTTGAAGAACGATGTGACAATAACCTGAAATAGAAATTGAGATTCGAACATCATAACACAGTTTTGGGTCATCATTACACTCATTTCAGGTCTCAATTTTCATACGAAATCCTCATAAATTATTATTTCGCAGTAATTTTCGAAAGATTTATGGAAGGTTAAAACTAGGGGTTCAAAAATCCGATGACCCTGACCCAACCCAACCTGTACGATTTGGGTTGGAATAGGTTTTTCTACAACTGTACTGGGTTGAATCTCGAATTTATTGTTAATTTTAAAATATACATTTTATTTACGGTACCATTATATATAAAAATATATTTATATTAATTTTATCTAATTTCATAATTATTTTTTGATTTTTAATTGTTAAAAAATATATATTAAAAATAAAGCGAACTAAAATTTTATTTTTATTAAAAATAAAAATGTAAATCCAAACCATTAAACCTCAATATTTATGTGTTTTTTTAGTAATGATATTAAAAGGATTTAATAGGAAAATTTTGGTTATCATTTTGACAACTTATAATTATTTAAATTTGAATTATATGTAACATCAATTCTTATCCCCTTGGTTGTATTTTTATTCTCCTTCTTAAATATGGCTAATTATTTGTTGGCAATGACACATAACATACAATTTTTTTATTTATGTTTAAATAAAAATATTAAACGCGTTATAAAAACCTTAGGTTATATTATTTTTATTGTACAATAAAAATTAATAAATTTAAGAATAATTATTTAAAATTTCAAATAAATATTTTGGTCTATTTTTATATTTTCTTTGGAATTTTGATTATTATTAATCTAATTGAAGTTGGAAAAATATTATTTTAATCTGTACCATTAACATTTTGCATGTTTTATGTAGGCCAAAATTGGACATATTTTTATTATTTGGAATAATGTAATATAAAAATTATTAATTTTATATTTACGATGGGCTAATATCACAATTAATTTTAGGTGTTCACATGACTCGGGACAATTAATTCGGGCTACCCAAACCAGACCAAAAGATTAGATTGGGTTAGATTTTTTTTTCGGTTTGGGTTGGGTTATATTTTGTAAAACTGAAAATTTAGGTCAATTTACGTGCGGACATTTTTGGTCGGGTTAACCTAATCAACTCGAAAATATGGTTACAATCCAACCTAACCCTACTCTATTTAAGAATGACAGTGCTAAATTGTAACTTGTAAATGTTTGATATTTGAATTTTCTGATATTTTAGTTATTAACATGAATTATAGTTTTTTTTTTAAAAACAACCGTACAACCCAATTGAACAAAAGAATAGAGGATTAGGTTGTGAATGTTATTTAGGTTGTTCAAGTCACCAACTTAATCAACTTAAAATTTCTTCGGTTGGTACAAGTTAAGGCCACTACTCGTTTAAATCAAGTTATTAATATCTTGACAGACGAGATGAATTGAAATAGCTTTAGGTAATCCTCAAGGAAGGGAAGTTATCTTGAACGAAGGAGTTGAAAATGAAGAAGATGACAATGTCCCGCTTTTAGTTGGACATAGTCCTAGGGGAGGGAGAGATATCGGTTGACGGAGAGGAAGAGGTAAAAGAAAGGGTAGCGAAACTTTACTACCAAGAAGGATTGAGAGGAAGTACCAATGTGAGAGAAAAAGAAAGAGGAGTCGGGGGGAATAAAGCTTACAAAGAAATGAATGCCTTTATGAATAGAGCACGTATTGATGAAGACGGTGATGAAAAATATAAAGCTGAAATCTTTGTGATGTGTTGTTACCGTGCTTGCTGGAGATATATTACCTGGTCAACCTCAACGATTTGATAGGAATGTCATGTATGATGGTTACTTCAATATGTATTCTATTACAAAAGAGGGTGGAATCAACTCAAGAGAAAGTTTTGGAATGAATTATGTTGTTGATCATGATCAAGAGTAAAGAAAATTCGTTTCTAAACTTGTGATTGAAATCACTCCACAAAAGGTTTGATCAATACGACTGGAATGATTCTAGCATGCATGTTCTAAACATAAGAATTTCTAGAATAAAAATTTAGCTCTCAACACATCTAAAATAGAAACTTTATTCTTTTCACTTCCAAAATGTGATATCTACCGTGAAAGAAAAGAAGGCTTTATATACCCATCTTTTGGAGACAATGGAATAAGAGTTTATACCATTGTGAGTAAAATTGTATCGATTTACATACCCATCATACATAACCCGACGATCAAATTGTCAAGGCCTCCCCAATGTCCTACCCTCGATAAATCTTGCATTATGGTAATCTCTACTACAGTGTCCTACCCTCGATATCATATAAGGCTCTAGATCAGTCTGGTCTGCAATCTCCATGTTTAACCCATTAAGAAATTGTGTCATGAGAGCCTTCATGTCCTCGTTGAGATCAAGTTGATCCATCAATATATCCATCTCCTTTTAATAATCCTCCACGGACTTGCTTCCTTGTTTCAATGCTTGAAGCTTTTGCGCCATGTCCCATTGAAAATATTGTGGAACAAAACGCTTTCCCATGGCCTATTTGAACTCGTACCATGAATTAATTGGTGTTTCTAGATTTCTTCTTCTACTTGACATCAATTTACCCAACCAAATTTGAGCATATTGTTTGAATTGAGCGATGCATAACATTAACTTCTTTTCATCACTAAAATTATGACAATTGAATACCGACTCCAACATTTTCTCTCATTCAAACTACTCCTTTGGATCGGATTTTTTCAAAGGTTATGGAATCAATCCATGGAAAAGTTTTAAAATGGATTACTTTGGTGATTAAGTCTAAAAGTAAAGAAAACTTGTTTCTAAACTCGTGATTCGAATGAGTCTACAACAGGTTTGATTACTAATAACTCTATGATGCAAATTCTAAACAAATTTCTTTTATTTAAACATGGAGTGGTTTTTTTTTTTTTTTTTTTTTTTTTTTAAATAC